CCAATGGATCCCTGTCAATGCCTCTAAATAGCTTATCATTCCGGGCCTTCCAAATGTACCAGATCAGCCAAGGATAAGGATCCCTGTCTGCTTCCGGTTCCACTAATGTATTCTTCCTTCAGAATAGATAATCCATATTCGCGTACGTGCTTTGTACTGGGAACAAAGCAGGATTGGTAGGCGTGGATGATAGTGCCCAAACTTGTAATGCAGGTGGGCATTCAAATATTGCATGTGTGATCGTTTCCTCAGGTTCCCCACACCGAGGGTAATGGTTATCACATCTCATATGTCTGTAGTTCAAGATACTTGTAACAGCTACATGCCCTGTTATTATCTGCCACATAAGATGGCAAATCTTCTGGGGAACCCTGACCTTCCAAGCATGTGCTTGGAGTTTTGTAAGACTGGGCTCACGTACTTCAGAGTCGTCCTCCTTCCTCAAGATATTCCGTGTAACCCAGTATCCACATTTTACGGTGTATTGTCCAGTCCTCGTATAACACCAACAGTACGTATCCCGGCGATGTGTAGAGCTGATAGCCAAACTCTTGATAAGTGGTATATCAGCTGCATCAACATAATCGTGAAGTTGGCTCTCCTCCCAAGTCTTCTTAGTTTGATTTTACATGTCTTTAGAAATTATAATAGGAAACTATTAGTTCGACATCAAAAATGTCTAAAATTTATATAAAACGAAACCAAACAAATAACAATAGTTTTTGGTTATCATCGAAAAAATCAAAAACATCAAACCTTTAAACCAAACAAGCCAAAATAAATATAGATTTAGAATGATAGTTATATTTTAGGAGATTTAAAAAAATAACGTAAAACTGAACCAATATTCATGTTAAATAGACATAATATCATTTTATCTTAAAAGTAACAAAAGTAATAATCTCATTCCGCGAAAGGCGCAGGTTATTACCTAGTATCATAGTAAATAACTTAAAACATCAAGGACAAAATCCTATTAGAAATTCTACTTTAATAACATAGATTAATTAAAAAAAAAAATTTATCTTACGTGGTAGCTCTCTATGTCTTCTAGTTTAATTTAGAAGGATTTTAGAACACTTTATATAAACTATAGTATAAAAATTATACTCTCTTCCAATATAATATTTTGCAGACTATAGTTGGTTGCATATATCAAATGTTTATTGTTCAGCAGCTTTCCTCAAACAAAACCTACAGAATTACCTAATGTAATTAAAATCTATATATGACAATTAATGATTTTAAACAATAAAGATTTGATAAAAATCTGTATATTTTTTTTATCATTTTGTTTATTTATTTATTATTAAAATAAATAACATAATTACATTAATCATTAATAAAAATCTAGATTTGTTTTTGTGTATGTTGTGTTTTAGGTTTTTCAAAACGAGTATAAAATTACTAAAACTGTTAAAAGTCTCACATAAGCTTTTATGATCAATGTTTAATTTTTTTTCTATATTAAGATAGAATTCTTAAGAGCATATGAAGAAACAATTTTATTTTAATAAGTTTTATGTTAATATATATATATATATATATTACATATCGTCTAAATTAAACTATACATCGTATGAAAATACATACTAATATTTTAATATTTGCATTGAACATATATAGAAAAGTTAATATTTTAATTTTAAAATCTGTCATTATTTTTTTAAATGATTATAAATTATTGAAACTACTAAACATCTCATATTAAAAAAAATCTGTTTCTTATACAAATATGCAAATAATCATAAAATCATATGAGTAGAAACCTCATTTAATAAATATATTATATTAAAAATGTGCTATATATCTATGTTAATATCATTTAAATTTAATTATATATCATATACGATAAATAAGATTGATTGTTTTGATTTATTTATCCAAATTGCGAATAAATAAGAACGATCGTTAGATTTATATGCACACCAATTTATTACATAATAGTAACTGATTTATTAGTTATGTAATAATATATATACTTATAATTTTATTATTTCATAATATGCAGAAAAACATAAATAATAAGTGTAAAATACTTATTTTGCAAAAAATGCAGATCTTAACCTACGTATGTATCTCTTTAACTATTTTAAATCTTAGACATTATCTTAATTTTAGGCCAAAACAAACAAACGAAATGAGAATAAACTTCAAAATCAATATTTATACCGAGCAATAACCAAAATAAAAAAGACACAAATAAATAAAAATATTGAAGATAGATAGGATTGACACGTGAACGTAAAATTCTCATAACGATAACTAATTTTTAAATTGTTAATTTATTATATAAACTGAGCTGACATAGTTTCATTGTAACCAAATAGACCCGAAATGTTTTGACCTAAACGTTAGGTTCTATACGGTAAGTGATATTTTGACTTAAAACATTTTTAAAAAGAGATCAGCGCATCAGTAAACAAATTATGTATTAACAAAAAGTTAAAAAAAATTGTTTAAAGGCCAAAATATGAATTCAATCAAAAATATAAATTTATTTTTCCATATAATATTTTAAAATAATTTTTGTATAAATTTATCCTGCACAAGGTACATGTCTTATCATAGTAGAATGAAGATTCTTGCATATATTTTCAAATCATTCCTTGCCTAATATGTTAACATCTTGTTTCCCCCTCTTCCACACGTTTCAGTTCTCCCTTGATTATCATATAGACACCTCGACTAATTGTCTAGTCACTTGTCCCAGCATATCAGTTTCAGACCTCGATGATTTTTGAACTTTTTACCAGCTACATTATGATTTAGTGGTCGTCGGTCCAATTATTCGAAAATTCCTATTTAATAAACTTTACACTTCTAATCTTATATATTAAAACAGAAGTCATGACTTGACTTCATGTGTGATTTTTTTAAAAATGGACTATTACTAGACAGTTATGTTACATTAACTCTCTAATAATCTTATCATTATTATATCTTATGAAAAATCATAATTATATTAACAAAGATATGTTTAACAATTTGGTTTTGGTAAATTACCTTACACCTTCCAACTTAGTCACGCAAAATATGTCAATAGATATAAGTTTAGGAATCTTCTATTATTTATAAGGAAATATGTCAATAATAATTAAATACATCCACAATATATTAACAAAAATCACAGATTAGTAATATGAAATATTTATATACCCTAACCAAATTTACACCCTATATATATTAGATAAATTTATTTCGATGTAAATTTTTAAAATTATATTGTTTTAAAAAAAGAAATTGTTTAAAAAATTATTTTTTAATAAAATTCTTTAGAATATTAATTTATGAAACTATAAGTTTAGTTTTTGGCAAAATTTTCTTCGAAGTTTATATTATCTTTGCAAATTCAAGTATACTAATATTTAATCAAGCTATATTTATATTTTTTATCTAAAAATGAAATACTAATCTAACAAACAATAAAATATAGAACAAGAAACAAACACATGTTTGAAAAACATATATACTATAGAAAATTTGAAACAATCTATTTGATTAAAACACATATATATTATATAATATTATTATGTTAGAAAAACATTTACTATACATATCGTAAATATGTGATTACTATAATAATATATACCAATTTACAAGTGAAAACAAAATGTTTATATTACTAACTATAAACGAAAACAAACACCCGCGCGGTTGCGCGGGTCAAAATCTAGTTTGATGATTAAAACAATTAACCCTTTTTATTTTTCAAAAAATGAAAACTGAATTCGTTTTATTTTCCCAAAAATGAACCAATTTAAGGCATAACAACGCCTTAGAGCATCTCCAAAAAGACACTCTATTTTGGAGTTTGCAAAACTCTATTTTTGAAGTTTTAATGTTTTCTTCTCCAAAAGCTAAACTTCAAATCGAACTTTAAAACTATTTGTATTTTACTCTATGTTCCTTATATTTTTCATAATTTATATAAATTCATAATTTTTTTTAAATAACTAGCACATATATGAAAAAAACATAACAATAATATCAATTAAAAATATTTACTCTAAAATATTAAACTGTAAATAAAAATACATAACTAAATAATAAACTACAAACAAAATATCATATTATTTCATAAAATTATTTTCTTAATGCTCCATCTTCAGTTCAATACTTATTTGGATAATATTTTGAAGATTTTGAAGGTTTCAGAGAAAATTTATCATACTATTAATATTGTTGTAATATTTAAATTTATGTAATAACTATGTTTTTCATGTACCTTTTTAATTTTTTTTTAGTTTCTTTTTTTGATATTCGTGAAGTCTAATTTTAGTTTTACAATAATATAAATTTTATTTTAAATGTTTATGTATAAAACTTAAATTTATAAAAAAAAATCTGAAATATTTATAAAATAGAAAATTTTTAAAGATTAAAATGTTAAACGAAAAAATATTGAAAAATCATAAATATAATATATAATTAATTGTAAGGACTAAATGCAAATAAAAAGATGAAACTTCAAATTTGAAGTTTCTAGAATTGAAACTTTAAATATGAAGTTTCACTCCTTAAAACTTCAAATTTGAAGATTTAAAACTTTTTTTGGAGAACTAAAAACTCTATATTTGGTGTTATAGAGTGTCTTTTGTAGATGCTCTTAGTCCGCAACTAAATTTAAAATCATAACATTCAACGCCAAACATGTTTCCTCGAAAAGGCTTTGGCTTCAGTGACTTTTTTCCTCGTAAATAGTGGAGGTATCTCAAGAATAGTTTTAAACTTCAACAAACAAAAGAAAAACAATTGTACATCCATAGGTCCATGTTCAAAGAATCGTGACAGTAGAGCTAGTTTCATTGATATGAAGAAACGAATCAAAATAATAATGAGAACGGAAGTGCAAGATGTATACAGCATTATTTATGTTGTATTATAAATAATAAGTGCAAGATGTAAAAGAAACGTTCAAATTAATTCAAGTTGCATAGCTTTACCTTTTATATAAGTCAAAACTTCATTCTAAGTTTCTTTCACTATCCAAAAGTTGAAGAAAACAAAGCCTTTATTCCCGCAAAACCCTGGTCAATTCTCTTTAGTTTACAAATGGGTCGACCTGATCAAACTCCGAGTCCGAAAATGCACAACAACTATAATCCGATGTTTCATCCAGAACCTGCACCTGAACCACCGGTTTACGAAAAGCAAATGGTCGACACCGAGCAGAAATATCCTCACAATGGTGGAATGGTAAACCAATCAAGCGGAGTACCAAATATGCCCAGACCGGTTCAACCTATGTATGTCAATCCCGGTGGAATGGGTAACCAATCAAGCGGAGTACCAAATATGCCCAGACCGGTTCAACCTATGTATGTCAATCCCGGTGGAATGGGTAACCAACCTTATGCACCACAAATGTCCCGACCGGTGAATATTAACCAACCATCAAACTGGACTTCAGGGCTTTTTGATTGCATGAATGATGGTGAAAATGGTTAGTTAGACACTATGAACTTTTCAATTATTTTATCCGTAATGGTCCGTCATTGTTACATCATGATTTTCATCCCTTCATATGATGTCTGTTTTTTTTTTATCAGCAATCATCACATGTTTCTTTCCATTCGTCACATTTGGACAGATCGCAGAAGTCACCGATGAAGGCGCAACAAGTAAGTATATATATTCATATAATGTACACGACGTAGCATGTATATAGATTATGATTGATATATGCATATAGGTTTATCTTGTCACGATTATATAGTTGTATAATATTTTATTTTTGCTTAAATGTAGTTGTAAAGTGTTACCAATCGAAACAGTATATTTATGCGTTTCTGTTTACATATTTATGTATATGTGTGTTCAGGTTGTGGAACGGGTGGAATGTTGTACGGATTAATATGTTGTTTGTTTGGGATACCATGTGTTTACTCATGCACATTCCGGGCCAAGATCCGAAGCAAGTTTGGGTTACCGGATGCTCCAGCTCCAGATTGGATCACTCATTGCTTTTGTGAATATTGTGCACTTTGCCAAGAATATCGTGAGCTCAAGAACCGTGGCCTTGACCCTGCCATTGGTAGATTGACCATCTCCTATATTTTGAATTTTGGTTTTTGTTTGTTAATGTTTAGTTGCCTTATAATATCTTGGTGTATTTAGGATGGAGTGGGAATGTGCAAAGGCAGCGAATGGGTCAGCAGCAAGAGATGATGGCTCCCCCAATGGGTCAACGGATGATGGGTTGACTTAGAGATTAATTTTATTACCCAATATGCTTTTGTATTATCATGTGTATTTGTTTTCTGTACTTATTTTATTTTGCGACCAATAAATAAATGTCAACTAAGGCTTTTCGATGACGACTTTCGTGAGCATCCATGAACTAATCTTTGTTTTGGTGTCAAGGTCTTTGCTACAATTTCTGTAAATGATCATATCACTCTGACATTCTTTTGAAAGTCCAAAATAATAAAACCATTCTTTCTTACTTATATTTTTTTACTGTGGATAAATACATCAGAAGAAAAATTCCCCAGCGAGTCTTTGACTGAATAAATTATTTATTCTCCACAAGAAATATGTAATTTATACTTTCCCCTAAGTTAACCATCCGAATTTTGAATAACGAGAAGTAATAGACCAAACGAAATAAGATCCATTGATAAAATATGTATGTACTCTCTTTAATTCGAACTAGATTTTGACCCGCGCTTAAAAGCGCAGAAATATTTTTTGATTAAAAGTTTATATAATTAGGTTTTGTTTTTATTTAAAGTATGTTTTGGTATAAAATCAGTAATCCAAAATTTGTGGTGATGATTGTTTTGCATTAATTTTTAGTTTCAGTTTTTATTTTTAGATTTGGTTTTAGATTTTGGTTTTTGGTTTTTAATTTTTAAGTTTCTAGTTTTGATTTTCAGCTTTTGGTTTGGGTTTTTAGATTTTAGATCCGCTGAGTTAGTTTGAACTCATAATTACCAACAAACAAATCCCAAAGAATCGAACATCTAATTTAAAACTGAAAATATGACAATTTTTATTTAAAAAAATTGCAATAGTTTTTTTTGTAAATAAACAAAACAAAAACAAAAATATAACATGCGTTTTCAGCTTTTGGTTTTGGATTTTAATATTTAGATTTAGTTTTTAGTTTTGCTTTACATTTATTTTTATTTTAATCAGTAAATTATTTAAGAAAAATAAAAAAAAACTATTATAAAAGTTACCATTGAAATTTATGAAGACATAGTGATTGTTATTTAAAAAAAAAATATTAATATGTTTTAAAGTACATGATTTAAATAAGTGATTAATAATATATAATTTTGTTTTGTTAAAATATTAAATATTTTTGGGCCTTAAAATAGTAATTGATTTTTTGATCTATTAAGGTAAAACATTTATTCAATATTTTTTTGGAGTTTTTCTTAATATTAAGTCCAAAACCCAAACTATATAATGTCATAAAACAAAAATAAGCCAAAAACTCTATTTCATAAATAACTACCAGTTTAATTTAAGTAATGCGGTTCAATCAACTATATGACTTGTATTATTTGTAACACTCTAGAAATGATCCAAATTTAAATAACAACTTATATCAGTAGATAAAAAGAAATAACTCTATTTTAATAGAGTAGATAACATTTTCAAAACGCTAGTTTATTGATAAACCAATCGAAATAAGAATCACTGGTAAAACATATTTATAAGTAATTAAACATAAAAAGATTACACCAAGAAAAAAGTAAAAGAAAAAAAATCAAATGTTTCTTTAAATGGCATAAAAAAGCAAAAAGTAAAAAATGCACACTAAGATGAAAATCATAAATGAAAAACACCCAGTGTAAAAGAGAGCGGAAAATTATTCAAAAGGGCACAGAAACGTAAACAGATAAGGAAACAACGACAACAAAAAAGTTAAGAGATACAGAGGAATAACAATAGATGTGGAAGGCAAGTCAGATGTTTATGGTTGCATCCCACAGCCGGAGAAGTCCATTCCGGCCACCGCTACATATCCGTTTCCTCTCCAGATCAGACGCAACACATCTCACCTGAATCACAAATCCCATTCAGTTTTAGCACAGTAATGTAAACCTTTTCAACTTATGCAACAAAAGAGGATCATCATCATCATACCACGGCGGCTGTTTTTTGGGGTACTCTATAAAGTTGCCAGCCTGAAACTTTGGTTCCGGCGTTAGAAGGACGATGGAAAAGAGACATTGAGTTATCTGCTGCTCCAATGCCTAACCAATGTTCACCAGCGTTGATTGATAGTATAGAAGAGTTATGCAGCGTTATATTCTTCACGCATTTAATGCCATCTGTAAACCAGAGACACCAGAGTATTTATCACAGAGCAAAGTGTTTGTAGTTGCAAGTTGTGAGCGGCCTCGGTTAGGTAGGTCATAGTTAATAAGAAGATCCTTACCGTCATCATTTTCCCAAAAACGAAGCAACCCATCAGCGGAACCTGCAAGAGAAAGACAGCAGCAATATACTACCTTTAAGCCTTGATATTTATTTGCAAAAGTCATTGCTTTCCCAATAGTTTCTTTCAGAATTGGTGTAGATGAAATTATCATGGACCTGTGATTATTCCTCTATCGAGTGTGGAGTATTCAACAGATTGTACTGGTCCAGCATGGCATGCTAAAACAGCGTCGCATGATCCTCTGGAGATAGACCAAACTCTTGCTGTCCAGTCATCGCTCCCAGTTATCAAGGTATCTTCCACCATTCGAATTGATCTGCAGAAATGACGCGATTTGATCAAACAAGTCACTTATCTTAAATAACAAAATTAAGAAACCCTAGAACGCAAATAGAACATCATTTAAGAACTTGTACGAAAAGAAAACCATAGGTTTAATTTAATTATATTTATATAAGACTACAACAAATGAAACATGTTGAAGAGAAAACTGTAAGGCTCACCGTATCCATTTTGTATGCCCTTTCAGTTTATGCATCTGTCTTCCTGAACGAAGATCCCATATGTTTGCGATCCTGATTATTATCCAGTCATTATAGTTGAATCCGTAGGTGATATTCAATACAGAAAATCCATATGATGTGTGATATAGTATACATACGTATCTCTTCCAGCAGCAGCCAAGATTCCTGTGGAGTCGTCATATTCAATCGACAGAATAGCACTAGAGCATCGGCCAACAGTTGAGACGCACATATCGGTTCGGACATCCCACATCTTAACTGTTCCATCATGTGCAGCAGTGAGAACACGTTCACCTGAAATCATCTTGACACAACTAACCTGCACAATATTTTTGGATGTACATGATGGAACAGTTAGTAAACTTGTTAATAAAAGCTTCCTCTTTGGTGCCTTATGACTGAATTATATAGGTATTAGCTGGTCAATGATATTAACTTTACAAATGTCAATGTGTAGATGCTAGAGGTGGCAGCTCCAACATTTTCCGAATGGAATCCAATGATTGATAATTATCTGTTTAGTTAATTACTTCAATGTCTATATGTGCTAAACACTAAGAGCGTAGAATGTGCTAAACACTAAGAGCGTAGTGGAAACCTGAGCATCGTGGCCTTTCAGTTCTTCTAGAAGCTGAAGTGTTTGTTTGTCCCATACGATAACAGATTGATCATCTGATCCAGAAACTATCTTTGCTCTGTCAGAGCTTATAGCACGAACGGTTCTACATCAAAAGTTGAAAAAATGAAGAACTGTTAAAGAAACCGCATCATGTGAAAAATTAACTAAAATCTCACAACTCCTGAGAGGTATCAAGGCGAATAAGAAATATATACCCAGTATGTCCTTTCAGAGTCTCCCGATATTCAGAACCCCGCAGACTTGGATCCCAGATTTTAACCTGCTCATATTCAGGAAGCAATCAAAAGAGGATACTAGGTAATTGTTACCAATTCTGAATTGGAACAAAAAAACTACGCTTAATCTCTTCTGAATTTCATGAAATGAAACAATGAAAGACTATCTTATTTGAGTAAGCAATCATCATCTTGGGTGAAAAGAAGCATCATACAGATTATTGTTCCAATTCTACTTCGGCACACTTACTCTTACAAATATTATAATTTACTATATCCACAACTATGGTGACATTAATAGCAGAATAATACACTAATCTAGATAAATGTAAATAACATAAAAATGAACTACCCCTTTTACCCTCTATGCAATGATCTTTAGGCCTAAAGAAAGAGGATGCAGCCATCCTTTAGATCTAAAACAACACAATACTCTTTAAGTCATCAATGTGTGTGTTCTCAGCGATGATATTAAAAATGTATAGGTGCAAAGAAAATCTAACTAAACAATTTAACCTGACGAATGAAAAAAAAACCCACAAACATTCATGTAACTATGCATTTTATACTGACCTGACAGTCTGTACTGCCACTGATAAAGAACCCAGCATCCTCGCGATCGCCCACAAGATCATAGACTTCCCTTCTTGTCACACAGTGCAAGGCAGTGACAGCACCGCTGTGACCCTTCAGAACACGTACATTGGTTTGAATTTTCTTCTGTGCAGCAGCACTTATGTCTGTTTTGCCAAGATTAGTATACTGAATTCAGTAACTACAAAGGAAGGAGGTAATCATGGATATACCTGAAGAAGCATTATCAGAAACCCACTTACGAACACGACTGAACGAGTTAGCTCTTGATGCTGTATCTCTGCTAAACATACTCTGAACCCAACTCCTTCCAGAAGCTTCTGAAGGTTGCTGGGTTTCATCAGAGGCATCTGCTTTTGGACGTGGTGATGGCAACCCAGAAGATATAGACTGTTGCTTAAATGAAGAGGCGCCCCAATAGCCTACACGAAGTTGCTGAACATGCGACAAGAACCCTCTGAGTTTAATCTGAAACAAAGTTCAATATGCAACAAAAATATTATGCCTCAGTGGGATAGTGTTTCCAAAAGCCACGTTAAAAAGCTTGGAAATTGTAGCCGTATGGGGTATAAAGTACGGGTTAAAAGAAAACAAATCTCGAAACTGCAGATTCAATTAAACAAAACTAAATTTACCAATAGTTTGTATCCAAGTTTTTGCTTCTCTGCTATTGTCTCTATCATGTTCCAAGCCTCTGTATCAGGAAGTCCCAAGCCAGCCTTCAAAAGAACATTAAATAATGTGAAGATAGAGTAAGCAGGACAACTATAACCATCCTATTACAGGGAACGGAAGTGTAGAGTAAGTCAACTTTGAAAATAAGAATTCACCATATGTGATGCCACGATGATAAGTCTGGCCGTGACCAAAGTAGCGTAGTTCACTGCGCTGAGAGAGTACAATAAAGGGTTAAACGTATTAGTAATGCTAATGGTGATCCAATCAATTGGCCGTATAATACACGATGATAGAGGAAATTAAGAAGACTCACTCGTTTGCAGGCTGCTCCATGAGATATTCGAAGTAACCTTCCCAGAATCTGTCAGAAGAACTCACAATATGTCAATAACCAATTTTCTAAGCAGCATAGACATTTTAAAAATCTCAGAGAGGCCGCAACTTGTTAGATTTCATACCTCAATTCCTCCCAGATCGGAATGGAGATGAGATGACGCTGAACATAGTCTGAGACATTATTGGCATCCCTCTTAAACATTTCCGCAGAAACTTCAAGTGCATACTGAACTGTCGATAAATCGTTCCTTGAAGCAGCACGGCTGACAGCCATTTTGAGCTGATTTCAACAATGAAACAAAATTATAAAGAGTTTAAATTATTATTCATTAACAGTCAAGAAATAAAACCTGCGCAAAGCTAAATATGCCCATCTAAAGTGCAAGCATTTCAGAAACTAGGTATACTAACCCGGTATACAGATAAAATTACTTACCAATTCTTTGACCGCAATGAACTGCTCCACAGTCAACCCACCATCCCAGTCCTGTAAGAAATAAATCAACTATACAGTAAGGCCCAGCTCAACCAAATTGTCTCAGTAAATATTCGGTACAATTGCTAGTTGGTACTTGCTGCGCTTACCGAATTTTTCAGATGCTCTCTTATACATTCGATAAAGCCACTCCCACCAATCCCCTCAGCATCAGATTCGATGAGAGCTACATGACCAAAGTGTGTGTGTGTTCAATTTTAAAAAGAGATAATAACAGCTCTTTATTTTTTCAGCAGAAGCAGAAATAACATAGTCAAAATGCCCACTATTTGGGTAGTATCTGGCTGATTAAGCATACAAACTAAATTCATTCCTTTATAACCATTTTTCGCAGTGGAGATTTAATGTACATCTATTCATATTCCCACTGATATGAAACATACCCAATATCGTGCCGTATTCAAATGAAGAGAGAGGATCTTCATCTGAACCTAGTTTCACAAGACGGAGCCATAATCCCTGGAAACCACAACAAACCAATGCAATTAAAGAGTGACATAAAATTAATCTTCACTGCAACCTTTTACATGTTAATTTATTTACTAGGAGGACTGGAATCATGATCATTCCGAGTTAATTTAAAGTAAATCAACTACATTTTCTAAAGAGAAAAGTTTACTGCACATGCTATAGATCGTTACATATAGAATAAAAGAAAGTTTTTGTGTAGCTTAAATATCCAACAGTTTGGATTATGTTGATATTCATAAATCTTGTGTTTAATTTATCAAGTTTGACAGAAATTTGAGTATTATTAGGGGCTAAGTAAATCTCACCACAGGATAGACTTTTTTCTCAAGTTGGGTACTTAAGGGTTCTTACTCTCATAAAAGTCTCAATAGAAAAACTGTTGAAGGAGCCACCAACTGATTTCGTTCAATTTCTAAACTTGCAGACTGAAATCCCTTAAAAATACGAGAAAAGGAACCTATACCTGCAACTTGACTTTTATATCCAAGACCATCCGATCTCTCTCTGCCTGTAAATTTAAAATACATTAAAAAGAGAAGTAACGGCACAACATCTAGAATGGAAGTCTTGTGGACCTTATTTCATTTTTGGTTATCAATATTATTCAACACAAGAAAAAATGAAGGCTAAAACGATTATGCAGGACTGGATATAGTATCCTATAAATATAAAACAGTTGTAGAAAACAAATTTTCAATCTGAGTTAAGTTTGATTTACTATCCATGAATGACAGACTCATGGCATCTCTTCATGTCAGATTAAATTGTTTCGACCCATGCATGAGCAACAAGATTACATGCAACACTTACAGCCCTCTCCCTTGAACTAAAACTGTCTTCCTTATTGTTCTTCCCTAGCAGTGAGCTGCAATTGGAAGATATATAAATTAAGTAAGGGAGTCAGATTGCTGTTCCAAACAAAATAGGATATACCTTGGAGAATGCCTTCCGTTGGATTCAAGAGCTCCGCTTGCTACTGCGAGGATCTGCTTTCGCTTTTCTTCTTGTTCCTCTGATCTAACACTCGCAGGAAACCTGTCATAGGTATACCTGGTGGCTGAAAAAAAAAGAATAGAGCTGGATCAGAACCTGATCCCAAACTCGGTAGGAATACAACTATTCCCCAGAATTAATAGAACAGACTGAAAGATTTTGATTAATTGTTCTACTGCTATGCATGCTACACCAGCTTGTTTTTGTCTCTGTCCAAGTTCAACTACTAGTGGCAAGCCAAAAACCCATAAGATTATGAAGAATGGCACACAATCAATCAGAACTCTTTTCATTCTCGGTAGTTCCTTAAATGATAAACCTCAAACTGTAGCATTCAGTGTGATCTAAAAAACAAAAGATCACAATGTACCTGGTTCTTCAACTTCCGGATCAGCTATTGTGATTATCTCAGGCTCCATAGAAAATTTAGGCAGAATTGACATCGCATCTTGACCCCTTCCAACAGCGTCTTGTAACTTCTCGAGGAGATTAGTACTGTTCTCATCAGAATCTAGACGCCTTTCAATGTAATCGAGGAATGCAAAAGAGCCCAAGAATTGAACCAGCTAAAAACAATGGAAGACAACCAATTACCAACAATTATTCAACAGATAAAATGTGAGTTATATTATTCAACACTTTTGGATGAACACGTTCAACATTAAGAGTATAAAAGACAGACTACCATACAGATTGGAACAATAGAGGGAAAACAGGTCGAGCGATCGTAAATATCTATCTTGACCATATATGAAACAGTTAGCTTACCATAGGCTCCGGTGGCTGATTGGTGGATCGAGACCGTCTCTTCAGGAACGCATCAGTGCTAAAAACTTTGTTTTCCTAGTAAAATAATCCGTATAAGTAATCCGTATAAGTGATGCAGAAGGGGTGAATAAATAAATAAGTAAAGAGTGAAAATCACATACTATGAAATTACGGTAGCCACCCAAGATAGATGCAAAAAACTTTAAGAATATAACCCTGCGAGAGGAAATGAAATTTCAAATTTGTATAACAAACAGTAACATGAGTATTTACATAATCATATGCCAAAATTTACTTAAGTCACCTGAGTTGAAGGTCATGATCCTCTCCCCAAGGTTTGCTGAGGCTTTTAGGGCCATGTTCAACAGAATTACCAAAGCCCCTCAAGTGATCGATCCCTACAACATTAGGTTGCAGTAGTTTCAATATATCGTTTCTCAGAGCGCTGAACTCAGGCTCTGGTATCGGAGGTATCTCCTCAGAAGTAGTGATTTGGTTAAATTCAAGATCCACCACTACAACCTAAAAATGGGAATACCGTGAGACCCATATCAGATAGCATAAATTTTGAAGAGGATAAGTATGACTACAAATAGACTCACGCCATCCATAGCAAGATTTGATGTATCAACATCAGAGTGGAGACCCATCATATAAGGTGTTGGTGCATCAATGTAGTCTACTCCACTAAAAAATAGTAATGGAATGTAGACTTGCTTCACAAACATACATCGAAACAAAGATTAAAGATCAGAAGAAATGTTTTAGTCAATAGCTGTGCTTGTTCTCATCGTTTACCTATAATCAGGAAATCCAATTTTCATTTACAATGTAATTCTTAGGTTCACAAGCTTACGAGTTACAAATGAGTTCATATTTGTTTTAAGAGAATAATTGAGATCTCATGAGTGTAATAAGACATACCTGCCATCGGAAAGGATAAATCAAATGACATATGGCTTCTGACACCAGAGTCAGAAGCGAATACCTGTTGAGATTCAAAATGAAGCAAACGTAAAGATGTTAATGCAATATACTAAGGGTACAACACGTATAGAAAATATCACTTAAACTCATGATGAGAAAGTTACTTGTTAGATCGAAGCAATATCCTCCTTTCAACTAGCACAGATGTAAACAGCTTAATCAAGTTGTCGACATCCAAGCACTGTACAAGAGGCTGGAGAGATATCTGCATCCAGTAAAACCATGCGAAACATCACATTACTTAACTGGAAAAAAAAAACATGAAAGAAACCAGGGAACTATCACCCTAGTCTAAAAAAATGTCAAAGCAAAAGGATTAAAAAATAGATAAAGGAGACAAAAGCACAAGTCATACATCTGCCTGAGGAAGACTGTCCTCTGGAGGTGCTTCCACGGAGAGCAGGCAATTCTCAACAGCATACAAGACTCGGTCTTTTCCGGGAGTTGGCAATGGCACATTCGATACCATATAGGCGATAATATCCCACAATGGTTTACTGAAAAGGTTGAAAGGCAGAAGAATGGGGTTAGTTTTCCTAGCCAAACAAGCAGTAAGATGGTTTTAAAAGCAAAGAGTGTTTACCAGCTTCCTTCAGAAGAGAAGCAAAGAACAAAAATCTCTTCGAGAGAATCCCGAAGAGCGCGGAAATTGGGAGCGTGAGAGACGATACAGATACACTTGTCTGCGTATGTATCCGGTGGTAAGCGATAAGCTTCAGTAATATCCTCGCAGACTCTATCCCGAAATGCAATGCAACTGACAAATATTTTTGCTCCATCTCCCTCTGTGCATTAGAATAAACAGTTGAAAACCACCTGATTCGCACTAACCACAAACGACATCGTATCAGATAATGACATACCCGTCAAGACTATGGGATAGCTCCGTGGGCAACTCACAGGGTCGTTGGAAAGAAATCCAGAAGAATGGAACGCCACACCAGCAGGAAGAACACACTAATTTCAAATTAATTCAAAAAAAAATCAACACAAATCAAAAAAATCGGAGTATTGGTCTGGATATAATGATGACTTACAGTGGGGAGCTGAGGAGGAGGGGGAGGATAGAGAGAATGATCGGAAGGAGGGAACTGGTCTAGAAGCGAAGGCAAGTAATTGTTCTCCAATCCATGGAATCCGAGATCTCCGTCAAGGGTTCGCATCTCAGGACCCAGTCCGCACACGACGAAGTACTCGAAGATCCGACCCATGATCTTGGATCCTCCAGATCTCAATTTCGGATTCTAGTTGTGCATCATCCCAAAATGGCGACGGTGATGGAAAAGTAGTTGCTTCGTCTGAATCGTAGAAGAAGGTGACTCGGCTCAAAATAATTAAAAAGCCGTTCGCAATTTGTTTCTCATTTTCTCATACAAATTACAACTAATTATTTATTACAGATAAAATTGCAAATAACTGAAAACAATAAATAAATAAATAAATAAATAAATAAAGAAATTTACTTTATTTTTTTTTTTTGGTGAATTTGATCAATATTCATAAGAGATAGCGAAATGAAAAATATAACAATAATACAATTGATGTGACAATTAGTGTTAAAAATTGACATTTTTTTTCTTTCATTTGCGTGCGCGTGTGATAGTGAGAGTGGAGCATTGCTAACATAACACTTTGCGTACTACATAGTATATGACGCTATTAGAACTATACTATATGATAATAGGATATGTACAAAAATATTAAAATTATTCCGATAAAAAGATTTGCATATAGTATAATAAACATTAACATAAATAACATAATCAACCTAAGAGACGAGTGAACCATTTATACTGTAACACTTATCAAACACTAATCAGATGTGTATGCAAACGTTTCATTTCCTGTAGTGGCATGGTAAATATGAAACATAATACTATAATATAGATGAGATAAGATAATACCTAAAAAAATAGAGATACCATAAGCATATGTGTAATCGGAGCATAAGTGGATTCTAAAAAGGGAAATGAGGGTGAAAACAAATGTTGTATATTATAGCTTTTATAGTATAGAAAGCGAGGCAGCATAAGAATTCAAGGTTCGTTGGCCAAGGCATAACAAGAATGTAAAGCGCATATGAATAGATGCAAGTACATATATGACTATTGTATAGAGGATAAAGTATAGTAAACATATATTAACCGAGAGCAAACAGCTACTGCATTCACGCAGAAGACAAATTTCTAAAATATGTGGGGATGGAGAATGAAAAAGATGGTGGTTGTTTGTAAATGAAATAGACAATACAATAAGGGGACGGTAATGTAAAAAACGGTAGTATACAATCACAAGTGTCATTTATGGTTAGTTACAGACTATACAAAACTACATCTTAGATAATATAGGCCATCCAGTAGCAACATTAGTGACCATAGGACGGAACATGAACAGGCTATGATACACGTATCTTGGGTATATTGAGAATCTGACCGAGGCTTTGTATTTCCAATGGTTAACAAAACGACTCCATCCCCCAAGGGTATTCCATAAATCCGTTATATTGCCAACTATTTCCACCACTTCAGGTCTAATTTGTGTCAGCTATATATGACAGTTCAATAGTTAATCTCATTTTAAACTATATGCCATAGATGAACCTTACTAATAGAAGGCATGCATTTACAACCGCGATTGCAAGTATTATATAACGTACAAGCTATAATATGAAATGGTGTGGTACTGGTATGGCGTTCGTACACAAATACAATCGTAAATGGAAGAGGGAGGGTGATGGTCCGACAACAATGATGTTATATCACAAATGAATACTATGTAACTTAATCTTTAGATTTTCTCATGCAAGAACATAACATGAAATTGTAACTGGAAAAATATTCATATACAGCGTAATGAAACAATGTACATGAACGTGCGACAATGAAAATATTTTAGAAAAGCTGCAAACACATTGTACAATCTTCCATTGGTGATACATAAGAACCTCTGCATCCCATATGTTTTGAAATTGTTAACCCCATTCTAAACTATAAACGATATAGTATAGAATAGACAATTGAACCCTGTTTGAGACAACTGCTCCTTCAAGCCCTAACTCCTCCATCTTAAACATGGAATGCAAATACGTTATTTCACGTCACAGCCATTTACAAGTGAGAGAACCATAATGTTTTTTTCCGGCCATATAGTTTTCAATGTAATAATAACATTCTATTCCACTAATTGACATCAATCGCCCTATACTATTACATTATATAACATAGTATTTACTTTGCATTACATATTTCATCTCTTTTCTTCTACGAATAGTCGTATAATAAGTTTTGAAAATAGCAGTAATACAAGAACATCTTTCACCAGATCTCGTATTCCGTGTATACAAGAAGACCCATACCTGAATTTAAAGCATTACCAGCCGTCTCCGATGACCTTTTCCTAGTCCCCGAGTAGCGATTCCACATGGATTTGCAAAATAAACGGGGTTCCAGTTATGGGTGTTCAAGAAATCACATTCAAGACTTGCATAACAACATCACATATTCATGCATATAGAGATAGAATGTTGTTTCATATTGTGTCTATTCACATAATCGGATACTATACTATTAAGGTGTATAATATAGAATAGAAAACACATACATCTGTTCCTACTTTCAAAACCTAAATGTAGGTTTTAAAACCTTATGATGTTTCATATAGTGTAGTGTTAAATTTCCTAGTTCCGTTCTATTAAGATAACTAATATAGTATAGCATTGGTAGTTATAGAATACATTTGTTCACCCCTCTCACGAACCCAGAAACTAAGTTGAAAAAAAATTGCAGAAACACAATGACAAATTTGAACAGATCTCGTATACATAAAACTTGTCTACATAAAAATCTACTCACAACCTATTGTCTGAGATTACTTTTTTCTCCCATCGCATGTAATTACTCCAACTGGATTTGCAATTGATGTGCCGTTAAATATGAATAACCGACAGAACCCTAATTATGCTCTTCCCTCTGGTGTCTCTCACAAATCCATGATTGGAAGTCTATCTCTTTCTCTTCTGAAGTGCTAACTCTCAATCACTCTTCCCAAATCGCTTTCTCCAAATCTCTCGGCTTCATGATATTTTGGTTTCAAGAAAAAAAACAAAAGTAAGGACGCTTCTTTTTCTTATCCACGCGCAGCTGGAGGGCTTTTTAGCCAATAAACTCAACAATATCAACCATAGTATAACCATTGTTTTGTATGGTTATATAATGTTTTTGTTTGTGGGATATGGTTATTAGCCCAAATTTCCCTAATTTTTTTTATCATAACTATAGGACACAAATGTTAAAAGAAATATTTCTACGATAGCCTTCAAAATAAATAATGCGAAAAATCTCTCAAATAAATCTTTTAAAGTTATATTATTTTTAGTTCATGGTTAATTTTTACTTTGAAACCTTAATTTTTAGGTATATGGAGAAGTTCAGAGGAAGGAAAACTGCCTTTTAGAATTTTGATGTCTTCTAAATAACTTGTAAAAGGTAGTCATTCTTCTGTTTCTGAAACCATCTTCACGAATCTGTTGCAAATGTGACTTGATATTGATGTAAATTCATCATACATTTCATTGCCCATATAAGTGTCTCCACTTCGGAGTGAAGTGGAGAAAGACTAGCACGGATATTTCGTGCTCCTAATAAACCATCGTAGCCCTCGAGGGTGCTATACCAACCTTGTTTTGAATATAACTGCTTATCCTTCCATGATCCATCTATAAAACACCATCTTCCGGAAATTTATGGTAAGATTTTAACCTCTATCCCTCTACTTTTGGGGTATTCGTTGAGTAAATGTCAATTGTGCCTCTCGG